ATCTAATATGTAGTATGGAACTTTTCCAATTAATCTAAGGCATCTGTAACTGCTTTTCTCCTTTCTGAATGAGACAAACCAGGAGAAATCAAGTGATGGCTTTGATGGGACGCTCTTGAATTGCAAAACTTTGGGGGAGCAGAATGGACGGCAACGCCCTCTTAGCCTTTGAGTGATGTTTTTGAGGATGCACTTCAAAAGAGCGGATGAGGTCAGACCAAAGAAGCTGATGGAGCCAGGACAAAAACAAAATTTGATTTAATGAAACGTTAATTTCAGCCAAGCTAGTTAAGATCATTCCCCATATGTTTATTTAATTTCCTTCTGGTGTATTTAATTTGGGGACCATTTCTATGAATATGAGGACAATTTCTGTGAAAAGGCAACATGTATTTTCTATGAACATGTCCCCTTCAGGCAGGGATGGGCTTCAAAAATTTTAGCAAGGGGTTCTCTGCCCAGTTGCTGGGTGGGCGTGGCCATGGTGGGCGTGGCCTAGTTGGCCTCCTGCACCAAGGCGGGTGTGTGTGTGTTTGCCCTCCCCGGGCTCCGGAGGTTTTCCTCGAGCCTCCAGGAGGGTGAAAATGGCCTCCCCAGGCACCGGAGGCCATCCGGAGGCTAGAAATGGGCCCATTTCTGGCCTTCCCAAACTTCCGGTAAGCCCGTTTTTCACACTCCCTGAGCCTCCGCACGTGCCCTGCACTTACCTGCATCCAAAACGGGCCGCGTGGGGACTCCTGGGAGGGGTGGGCAGGGCCAGCCAGGAGTGGGATTTGGGGGTTCTCCAAACTGCACAGAATCTTAGCTAGAGGTTCTCCCGAACCCCTGCGAACCCCCAGTAGCCCCACCCCTGCTTTTAGGACCAGCATTCTATTTGAGTTCTTGATTCCGCTCTGACCATTTGCAGGATGATGGCTACTAATAGGCCATTTTATGTGGCAGACATGGCAGAGCAAAGTTGCCCTTTTGACAGATACTTAGCCTATTGCTCTTATCGAAGAGTTGAAAACTGCTTTGCTGACTCGTTATTTTAAAAACTGCTAGAAAAAATAATAATAGTTATCCTGATGCAAGGAGGTAGCAAGGACTGGTAAGTATCTCCCATCCTTAACCTCATAAGTCATAAAAAGGCCCTGAATCCAACTCAGCTAGAGGGAAACAGCTTCGTGAAGGCTGATCTGCACATCCCAAAGGTCCTTTTTCCAAAAGGAAAACCCAGATTTTTGGGTTTTTCCCACCCTTGGAAATGTTTTGCTTCTCCTACAAAGAAAAAATAATCTTCAGTTCAGCTCTTCAGAACTGAAGAAGTTTCTTGGATGAGAAGTGAAACAGTTTCAAAGAAAGACACACACATCCCTCCCCCCCCCCCCCCCCCCCAAAAAAAGTCCAGTTGCCTTTTGGAAAAAGGCAGTACAGTGGTTTAGTGCACCCTGTTATTAAGACCAGCTGCCTGCAATTTCTGCTGGTTCGAATCTCGCCAAGGCTCAAGGTTGACTCAGCCTTCCATCCTTTCTAAGGTAGGTGAAATGAGGACCCAGTTTGTGGGGGCAATAAGCTGACTTTGTATAAAATATACAAAAGAATGAAGGCTATTGCTTAACGCATTGTAAGCCGCCCTGAGTCTCCGGAGAAGGGCGGCATATAAATCAAATTAAAAAAAAAAAACTTTGGGATAACTCTAACTCTTTGGGATAACTCTAACTTGGATGATTGACATTTAGCTGACCTGAATGGTGAACTAGTCTGAAAAGTTCAAAGCTTTACTGAGCCATCATGGGAAGACTTAGTCTACTCGCTCTCTTTTACCACCATTAACTTCACCTTGTTCTCACAACGATAAAATTACAGATTACAGATTAACAGAGTTGGAAAGGACCTTGTAGGTCATCTAGTCAACCCCCCCCAAGCAGGAGACTCTACACCATTTCTGACAAATGGCAGTCCAATCTCTGCCATTTGTCAATAGAATAGAATAGAATAGAATAGAATAGAATAGAATAGAATAGAATAGAATAGAATAGAATAGAATAGAATAGAACAGAACAGAACAGAACAGAATAGAACAGAATAGACCTTGGAGGTCTTCTAGTCCGGCCCCCTGCTAAAGCAGGAGAACCAGGGATGAAATCCAGCAGGTTCTGACAGGTTCTGGAGAACCAGTAGCGGA